CATGTCCTTTCAAACTTTCTTTCTTCTATGGTACACAAATTAAGCTATTTTGAAGAATGGTGGTAACAAAAGCGTTTTGGTGATTATTGACTTTCATTGTATAGACTAAAAAAACATTAAGAAGTTTCTCAAAATGTCTTTATGTTTCACAGAATAAAGAAAGTCATACAGGTTTGGAACAACATGAGGATGAGTAAATGATGATAGAGTTTGATGAAAAAGCATTTTTGGGTGAACTATCCCAATAATTATGAAAATGATGGAGTTTGCATGGAGATTAAATGAACACACAATTCCAAAATGTTCACGTTTTCATGCTCCAGGTCCAGCTTTGACTGTCATGTTGGGTGACTGAACAGGTGTGTGTTTTCTACCTCAAGCAGAGAATGACTTATACAGGTCAAATAAAGAGAGGGAAAATAAGGGTGTTGTGTGCATGTGTTTGTCCAGTCAGAGGCCAGGAATAGCACCGCTGTAGGGTCAATATAACTCTGTCAGGTACACACACAGACACAAAAAAAACAGTAAATGTCTACAAGTACATGGATAAACTTTACCGTATTGTGAGGCAGTTGGCGATATCCATACCTAGCACAAAATATTTAAAGGCTGGGACACACCAAGCCGACGGTCGACCGTTGCCCAACGTCAGGCCGACGGTGAGCGACGGTTGGGCTAGTTTGTTTGGTGTGTTCCACTCGTCGGCTCTCGTCGGGCTCACGTCGGCGGCAGTTTGCCCGATTCAACATGTTGAATCGGCATCGGGGACGTCGGGACCGTCGGCGCGAGTGAGAGCTCTGATTGGATGTTCAGTTTAGCGAAAGAGTCAGTGCCCGAGAATTAAAGCGAAAGTGATGAAAACAAGCACGTAAATGAAGGCGGTACAGACAGAAGGCTGTTTAAATGTTTCGTGATCTTTCCCAATCATTCTAATACGCGAATGTTTTCATAACAACATGAGCCGCTTAAAATGATTAAAGTTATCAACGTTACTGATATTCAAAATGGTAAGCAAGCGCTGCTTTGTTTACGTTTCGTATATTTGCGTTTATCTCGTATATCTTTGTTTCGGTTTCTCATTTTGAATGACGAATATATACTATTGATAGCTGCTGATATAGACAGTTAATTCCTCTCACGCATGCGCAGAACGCACGTGTTAGTTTGCCGTCGGCTGTAGTCTGTGTGGTGTGTTCAAGCGTAGCTTTTTGGTCCGACGCTGTCGACGCGAGGCGACAACACCATAGGCTTTCGTCGCCGCTAGTTCTTTTGACGTCGGCTTGATGTGTCCCGACCTTTAGTCACAAAATAATAATCACAATCTTGTAACTGGATCGGGCAAAATGTGCAATGCAAAGATCGCTATTACAATTGCTTATACTTGTAGTGGTAAAATGAAAAATGTAAAAGCCAAATTACTTTAATTATCAAATTACAAAATCACTCAACATAGAAAGTATGCTAGAAGCACAGTCAACTTATGCTCTGATACCATTTTTTAAATGAAAAATAAGATGAATGGGTCAAATGTAAGATAATTTTTTAAGCATTAGAGTAAAAGTTTAAGACTGATTTGTAAATCTGTTTGATTCAATTAAATAAATCAGCTCAGAGTTACTTGTTTGCATTGTTTGTGAATCTAACTGATTTGTTCAAATGAATCAGCACATTAGAGTGGATTTTACCCTTGACATAGGCCACGTTCACACAGCAGCAGAATACGGTTGTCAGTCCTGTATTTGAATCCTTAATACGGTTACATTCACACACAGTACTGTTATTTTCAGGCGTGACAACCGCATTCTGTAACCGAACTCACACCCGTAAATTTTCAGGACTCACAACTGCATTCTCGGAAAACATGTGCTGTGTGAACAGAACAGGACTGGACAACTAGTTGTCTGTCACATCATACAGTGCAAGAGGGAACCGCTCTGCTGCACAAACGCATGTTTACCGTGTGTTGCATGTTTTCATGTCTGGTTCCAGTAACTTACAGTGACGGAGAAATGAGCTGTTTGTCATCTGAAAGTTTTAGATCTCCACCAGAGCCGCTCCCGTCAGTTTTATGTTCTGCGTGCGACTCTGACAGTGTGAACATAGCCATAGTCACATCTGGATTCTATTACATGTGAAACATGCATTTTCTATAAAGCCACTTTGAAACTATATGTATATTATGATTATCAGAAATTAGAGTCACGTTTGCACTCATTGGAGGAAGAAATACAAACAATAAGATTAATTGCCTTACATTTTCAAAGTATTTAGCATTTTTTAGCAAAGTATGTCTTTAGCATTTTATTTATGTTCATTTAAATATAATTAAATAGTTTTAAGTTATGCTGTGGCCCCCTTGAAAGTTTAAATATATATATATATATATATATATATATATA